GTTGAATACATGTATCAATTGTTGCATCTCATATGCCATTTTAGAATAGCCAAGCATATTTCTAGTTGCATTTTGCTTGTGTTGCATTAGTCATCTTAACATAGCTAGGATCATGCATTGATTACTAACTAACTATTGTTTTGGCTCGGAGTACTAGGTAAGCTTTTACGCTTTAGCATACCACATGTGTAAATGATTACCATGATAGCATGCTTGCTATGAGGCTATTTGCTTAAATGATATAACTGTCTGAATGCCTGTGGGTGAAGGTTGGAATACTTGAATTGGAACAATTCATCAAATCCCTGATTTAGCCTACTTGCGAATAGCAAACTTCAAACCATTTTCAAACAAATATGCAATGTTTTGTTCCAAATTAGGCGATCTAGTCTATACTTGTTTGCTGTGCGCATCACGTAGTAAGATTAGCTAATTAATCGGAATAAGAACACATGTGTTTTCAAAAATAAGATATCATGTTAGTAAAGGCTGATCTTTGATCGGGCAAGCGGGGGTGCTCATTGCATGACCTTCCCCTCTCGTACCCAAGTTCCCGAGCCGAGGCAACTTTGGTGATGACGGACACATGGCCTTAAGCAACGAGTCAGGATTTCCTAAATTTTCCAAAATAAAATATTTAGGTGGCGACTCTGTATCTGGCAAAGCAATCCATGTTTGACACTTCTTTATAAAAATCAGTTTTCCAAAACGATTTGCCGGATTTGGACTCTTTGGTGATTTATCGATCTTGCATTGCACTTTGCGAGATTGGATTCAGAACCGTGACATGAGTCCGAACTGTAGTAGTAAGTCCAATGAACAAAACGGATTTCCGCACCAATTTCGCGCGCGGAGGCCGTGGCGTTCGGGCACGTCTACAGATATAGATTAACTCTATGAGTATGTGTGAGTTATTATGAAATACTTTTGGAATGATTTTGCTATACCATGTAAGCACAGCTCTATGGACAAAGTTTTAAATTTGTTTCCGTTTCGGCCCCTTAACTCTGTATAAATATGTTTTATTTGGTTTGAGGCCGTAGGTAACCTCATTATTACTGGCCGGTTATGTCCTTAACCCATAGGGGCGGGTTCGCGTCATGACAGTGTAGAGACGGACCTTGTTGTATATTGGGCATAAATAATGGGATGAAAGTCAGATTGGGTGAACATGCTTTCAAAAGAAATAAAACGGATATTATGTGGTGTTTGTCACAAATGGAAAATATGGTTATTGTGTAATAATTGTTTTAATGGGAAATGGGTAATGAAAGCGAAAATTGGTGCTGTTGAATAAACTGAATGTTTTTGAGAAAAGTATTTATGTAAGTATACTTTGGTTATAAAATGTCACATTATTTATATGGTATGAGACTAGCATTCATGATCATAGCTATCTGGAAGTTGTTATTGTTGAGGATCATGTTGAGATCTCTACTGGACTTTATGTTCATCCCACGTTGTTAAATCTTTTTCAGGTGATTATCAGGATGTGCTACAAGATTACGGATCTTCCTTATTTTTTGGCCACGGGGCCTCTATATGTGTAGGCAGAATGCCATTGATGTAAAGGGTTAAACCCTTCCTCTTGATTTCAATGATGTAAGCCTACGGACAATTTATTTAGATATAAATTCATGTTGCATTCGTTTTATATTCGCTCGAGAGAACTCTTCCCTATGTTTTCTTTATAAATATGACGAGCTTCTGTATGCTATCTCTGAAATTGAATCTTTAATAATGATTTTAGTAATGGAATCCGAGTAATAAAAAATGGGGCGTGACATATAAGCTGTTAATATTTTGTCAATAACAGCATACATACCATGTAAGTCGTTAATTCATATATTTATGGCATACAAAGTATGTCGTAAAAAATATATGTTTTTACGACTTACAAAAATATGTCGTAAAATATTTGTACTTAAGACCATATACATTTCATGTTATAAAATATTATAACTTTACACAACATGCTAATGTATGTCGTGAAAAAAAAAAAAAAATCAATTCGATTCGATTCTTTTATGACATGCAAAAGTATGCCATAAAAAATGTATATTTTCACGGCATATAAAAATATATTGTAAAATATTTACACTTAAGACAATATACATTTCATGTCATAAATATTAAATTTTAGGATAAATTTATTGACACCCCCTGAGGTTTATGTTTATTACCGTTCCCTCATTACCTTTTGAAAATTACATCCCCCTCCCTGAGGTTTAAAGTTTCATTACAGATTGCCCCATGATGTTTAAAGTTTCATAACAGTTTCCTCCCTCACTATAATGATCATCATACATAAAATTAAATTAACAGAGGGTCAGTGCAATTTCTCAAATGTGAGGGGAAACTGTAATAAACATAAACCTCAGGAGGTGTCGTGTAATTTACCCAAAATTTTATATTTTTTTTAATTTAGTGATTGTTTTAGAAAATTAAAAAATATTTTCCTTCTAAGTATATGTAAATTATTTGAATTTAAAAAGTTAAAAAAAATTATTTAAAAACTTACGCCACACTCCTCTCATTCTAGATCCACACATTTTGGCCTCGTTTGGGAAGTTGGCTATTTTAGTAGGCTATTTTAATTTTTGGCTATTTTAGTAGGCTAAAATATTTGTATTTGGGAAGAGAGTTGGATTTTTTTATAGTTGGATATGATATTTGTGAGAGAAAAATTGAAATAGTTATAGATTTAATATGACATTTTATCTTAGGAAAAATTAGTCTAGGGTCCCTCCCCCACTTTTCGTAATGGAAGAGATCCACAAAATTATTTTTTGATGTCTAAGGTCCCTAAACATTTATCAGAGAAATTTGACTCTTTGCCCATGATTCCTCTCTCTCTTTCTCTCCTACAACCAAATGAACAAAAGCTTCAAGATCTTCCCCTACCCCCAAATCCCACCCCTTCGACAACGTCCTCCTCACAGTCTCCGTTGATCGAGATTGCTTTCTATACAAGCAGCGGCAACCTGGATGAGTTTTTCCATCTCAGCAAGAGAAGTCGCAGCGGCGCTCGCAATCTCCGGATCAATCAACTCGGTTTCTCTTTTCTCAGAAACCGCTGATCGGAGCTGCTGGAGGAGGCGACGAATGCAAAATTGCGGGAGATTTTGTTGTAGATGAAGATCTGGTGCATATTTGGTGCTACTAAGAATGTGTGTAATAGAAGATCTGGTGCAGATTTGGTGAAGATCTGATGAAGATCTGGTGCAGATTTGAGTGTGTGTTTTTTTGGCTCATGAGAATGTGTTTACCACACTCCACTCGGCCAAGGAGAGAGTAGGCTCGTAGGGCTCAAGGATCCACAGTGACATGTTTGGCTGCAGGGACACACACATCTGGAGCAAAAATACTATTACTAAAGCAACCGCCTCTCTGTGTTTCAAATTTGAAGCTTCCAAGCTCCATCACATCCCATCCCTCCCAATGTTTTTTTTCTCTTTTTTTGTCAAACTCTCCCAATGTTCAAGGTTATATATAGTTCCATGCTTCCATTCTATATTCTTTAGTTTTATTACCCATATATATATATATATATATATATGAGGAAAAGGATCAAACCTAGTGAAATTTATTGAGACAAGTCAGTGAAATTTCAAAAAAACAAACTCAGAGAAATTTGTTTAATATATATGTATATATAGGTTGCTATTGTTGCTTATTCACTCAATGAAATGATCTTCTCTCTCTGCTTTGAACTGAAATTTATCTGGATTGATCAAGAAAAATTTTCTGGTGTGAACTGAAATTTCGCTGGGTTGGTCCAGAGAAATTCTCTGGTTTAAACTGAATTTTCTCTGGATTGGTCCAGAGAAATTCTATGGTTTGAACTGAAATTTCTCTGGATTGATCCAGAGAAATTCTCTGATTTGGATTGAACTATTCCTCAAGTGTTGTCCAGAGAAATTTCTGTGAATTTTCTCTGGTTTGGAAATCATGTTTTTTGAATCTTTGGTATCATGTTTTATTTTTTCTTTTTAAACATCCAAAGATGAACTTTGAGCTCACTTCATTTCTTGATGGTGACATTGAGACAGAAGTTCAGGTACATGTGGATCTTAATTTTTATCATGTTGTGGGTACACGTGTGTATGGATGTTGACTGTGTGTCTGTGTGTGTATAATGCAAAATAGAAATCTTAAAGTTGTGATGTTCTTTCAGTCTTGCGCTGCTCTGGAACAACAGGAACTACTGGAAGAACTTGCTGAATCTGTAGGCACACCAGCTAGCTGATTTCGTGGAACTCTGGATGTTTTGTTATTCAGCTTTGTTCTTCAGCTTCTGTTTTGTGCTTGAAGAAGAAGAAGTTGGGTCTCTTGATATAGAGAGAGAGAGTAGGCACCTCATGGAAAAACCTCGCATAAGGATACGAAACTCCAACATTATTGATCAGAACTCTAACATCCAGACCTTCAATGGTTTCACGAATCCGATTAACCCCTTCGTTCAAATCTCCAGAGAAATCAACAACCACAGTCTTGATTTGGATTTTCCCGAATTTGGCTCCGATCGACTGCGAAACCTCCTTGAGTTTCTCGGGATTTCGACCAACGAGAATAAAATTCAGACCTTTATGTTCCTGACTTGGTTATCCTCTCTGGCTATGAGAGTGCAGGTGTAATATAAGGGTACGGGGGTGAGGGACCTTAGACTACAAAAGAACATATTGTGGACCTAATCCATTACTAAAAGTTGGATAGGGACCTTAGACCGATTTTCCCTTTAAAAAATAATAATTAACTAAACATAGTGATTATTTTTTATTTATTTTAATTTTTTATTAAATATATTTAATATTAGTTTCATTTTAAAGGTATATTTTCAATGATATTAATTTATAAAATGTTTGTTATTATGAGAATAAAACTTAAGGATTAAGAGAAATTAATAAATATTAAATTTTTTTTTTAAATCGAAAAGTAAAAAATTTAAATTGAGAGATTGAACGTACCGAAGGCTTGGCTAAAAAACCCTCCTTTTACTTTATAGTATAGATATGGATGCGTCTCTCTCTCTTCTTATTCTCTCTCCTCTTATTTTCTCTCCTTTCTCCATTGACATCTCACACAAACACACGAGCACCACCACCGACCACCACCAGCCACTGCCCCTCCGATGATGTTAGTTACCCGAGCACCAATCGATTGATTCCGAGCCACAGTGATGTTAGTTACCCGAGCACCGATCGATTGATTCCGAGCTTGGCGTTATTCTAATTCCGAGCTTGGAGTTCGATTCTGATTCTGAGCCCCTTCCACGGATTTGATTTTCTTTGTGAGTTTCTAACTTATTCAGTTTCCATTCGATTAATTCGGTATATACTGTTGCTTGCATATATATATTTTTTGGGTTTCTATTCAATTAATTCGGTGAGAGCCTTGAATTGCATCCCTTATTCGATTAATATAGTTTCTCCTCTCTCATCTCTCTTTGATTTTGATTTGATTTCTATTCAATTAAGCTAAATTTTTCTCCTTTGCAGTTCATTTCAACTTTATGATCTCAAGCCGCAAAGATTCATAGAGAGACAGGGGCTTATGAGGTATTTTGAATTGTGTTGTGTTTATAGCTCTTCAATGAAAATTTCTATTGATTTGGTTATGTAACATGTTTTGATGGTTTGAATGTCTCTGTTATTACAGAAATTTTTTCCAATTGCTAGTTGAATTTTGCTTTGTACTGAATTTTGATGAAGATATTAGTTTCTTTGTTAGTATTATTAAATTTAACTTGCAAGAAAAATATACTTGAAGTAGGAACAGAGATTAGTCAAAATTTTATAAAAGTCATGTTTATTAGCTAACTTTGGGATAATTATTGATTATTAATAAGGTGTATGAATTTTGGAGAAATTGATTTAGTTACCTTGCTTAGTATGAAAAATGGACTTGTTAAAAAGATGGTTTGATTTGGAGTATTTCGGTATTTAAAATGTTTTTTTTATATTTTTTATTGTTCTTACAGTGCTAGTTTAGCTCTATGAGAATGCCCTTGTCCTTCATTCCTTCCTCCCAGTTTTTAGAACAACTATTTGGGATTGAGTTGAGTTAGGCAATGTATGTGAAAACAAACATGAGCACTTTGATTATGATTTTCGTTTTCGGGTTTGCTTGTCGTTTTAGAGCAATTGAATTTGGATTCTTATTAATTGGAAGAAAAAAGTTTTGCGGTAGAAAGGCCATAAATGGTAATTACTGGTTCTTAGGCAAGAGATCAATATGGAAATTAGATTTTTGTTTTGTTACTTTCATGATATACAAGTCAGTTACATTAATTCACTGGATTGAAATTTTCTTTGTTGTCTATCTATGAGCCTCTGTGAAGGCCACTAACCCAATTTTTCTAGGTTAATAAATGATTAATCATTTATGTTCAATATGCCTTTGCTTGCATAAGGGATGATTTAGTTTAGATTGTCTTTTTTGTTTTTGTTGGGCAAGAAGGGTTTACTGTTTCTCAATCTCTGATTCAGTAATAAACTACTGCTAGATTTATTTATGCCATATGCTTGTTGATAATGTGGATGCTTCCACTTCATTAATGTTTTTTCCCACTCGGGAAGTTCTTGGAACTCTAAAATTTATTTTGTTCCAAATTCCCTAATTGTTGCGAAACATGTTCTCTCTTAACCTCAATTACTTTATATAGGAAAGTCATGATGTCTTGGGGTCTTCCTTATTTTAGAAACTGCTTTGATGACGAATGAGTACAAATTACTAATTTATGTCTTACTCTTTTGAACTTTTGCCTTGGCATATTAATTGGAATTGAAGTTTTGATTGGAGGTAATATAACAGTTTAGCATTATGATTGCCCTTTGCCCTTCTTTTCTGAAAGCCATCTAGAATTAAATTCTAAAATGGGAGGTATATATGAAAACTATAGAATAACAAAGGTATGATTTAAAACTTGTGAGATAAAAATAGCATATTTTCAAAACTTGGGTTTGGAAAACAAATTCCAAATTGCTTGAGTTTCTCGTTTGGGAACAGGCTAATTTAGTAACTTTTTGGCTATTTGGTTAAAATATGAGCTAAAAAAAACTAGTATGTTTGGGATGACTTTTTGGTTTTTTACGAAAAGATGTGAAAAAGTAGAGAGAAAAGAGAATTTTTGACTTTTTGGTGTGAGTTGTTAGCTTTTTGGCCTTTTTAGTAACTTTTTGGCTTTTTGGCTAAACTTGCCTGTTGCCAAACGAGGCCTGAGTTTGAAAGATCTGTTATTAAAATAGCATGGTTTGGTAGAACAATCCTTTAACCAATTTTAGTACTCTATTCATTGAAAATTAAATAAATATAACTACTAGTAGTAATAGTAAATGACAATAAATATGAGGAAAAGAATCACAAATCTTCAAAATGCAGAGCTATATACAATTTCAGCCTCTATCTAGAGCCAAATGCAGTTTCAATTTCTTGTTTATCTTATTTCCTTTGTTGTATACTTGTCTGTAACTAATCCTACCCAAAACTTAAAAAAATTTGTTATCTAAATGTAATTCAACAGCGGCAAAATGATTCAGATTAACCATTTTTTCGTGTAAATAATTTTGACAAATAACAAATAAAATGTAGCATACAGCGTGAATCTTTTTGGTAAATCACTTGTGAGTAGCTTATGTTTTGTACTAACTAGCTGACACATTCTTGTTACTAATTTGTAAAAAGTCATCGTAGTCACATTTGGAGCAGATTATTCACAGTAACTGTAACAGAATTTGTTAGCTGCGAATCCTGAAAAAATTTGATGCATTTTAATATCTAATTTAACTAATTAGGCAATTCTAATGACAATGATAATGAAATTTGAACTCAAAGGAACTTTACCCACTCAGTCAAAGGAACTTCACCCATAGTGTACTAATGCACAATAAATACAACTATTAACCACCCAATAATAAATATTAATTGTCAAAAAATTATCTCATTGGCCCTTTTTTTTAGTTTTTAATCAAATTTAATATTCAATTCAAGAGCTGCTTTGTCTTTTTTGTTTTGCTTATGTTAATGGTGGTGGTGGTGGTGATATATGTTGATTAATCAAATTTAATATTTAATTCAAGATATGCTTTGTCTTTTTTGTTTTGCTTATGTTAATGGTGGTGGTGGTGGTGGTGATCTCTATATCAGCATCCCATGTCATGTCATGTCCACATCTTGTGTCCATATCAATACAAAACATGCTTTCAACTTTTTCCTTTCTGAGTTATCTGGGCTCTACAATCACCAACCACGTTGATCATCTCTGGATTTGAAGGGGTGCTTGTGTTTCTAGCTAAAAACAAAAATGAGGTATTATGTCTCATATCCCTTCCCCGTCTGTCTGCTATTATTAAAGATTGGCTGTATAAAGCATGTCATGTCGTGTCATGCCTGTGTCTTTATTTCCTTATTGGTACTGCATAGGCTTTCAACTCTGCCTGATAAAAATTTAAAAAAAAAAAAAAACAAAACAAAAAAAAAAACTCTGCCTTGTTTGAGTTATCCTGGCTTTATGGTCGCCAATCACATTTGATAACCTCTCAATTTGATGGGGTGCTGGTCTTTATGGCTGAAAGGAAGAAAATAAAGGGAAAATTGCACATAAGTGGGATAGAGTCATGAACCTGTAAACCTGGCTTTCAAAGTGGCCACTGGAACTATAGACAAGTTATAAAACACCTAGATTTGATCCTAATTTTACAGGATAGCTGGAGAAAACCCAAAATGCTAGCAAAACACTTTATTTAAGCCTTAATTCGTTACTTTACCATCATTATCCCTTCTCTTTCAAAACAAATACTTAAATTGTTATATTTTGAAATAAAGCAGAACAAACTAAACAGTATATAACAGACTTATAGTGATAAAAACAACAGAGGTCAATCAAAAAGAAAGCAATAACTTCTTGATTATATCAGTTCCTAATTGTTAAAAAAATTTGGGCAAATGTGAAAAACCTATCAGAAATCAATAGACTATGGAAGATATATTTATTTATGTTTTCTTAGTATTTTAGTCTATTTATGTTTCTGTATTTCATGAAATCAAAGCTGCATGAGGTGCAAATATATTTATTACTATAGTGATGACATATGATTGAATGAATTTATGGCAAATATATTTTAGACTTATTTCAGTACTCTTCTACTTTCTATTTCCTTTCCTGTTTACTGTTCATATGATTGAATGAATTTAGCTAATGTGCCAGCTGCTTGATCTACCCTATTTTCACCCACTTATTTTAGTTAATGTGCTTCACCTTTGAGTAATTCTATGTTTAGGACTTTGTGTTATTCTTTTTCCATGGAACTATGCTTCAATAACAAATTGCATGGTAATAAAAATGTGTTGATTAGATATCATAGCACTTAGCTTCTAGTTTTGCTCAATAAGCATCGATACTTAGGTACTAAGCATACACTATGTAGTTAATTTACCTTGACTAGATGCTAATTTTCAGCCTACTAATTAGTACATCAGTATGGCCGATGCCATCCCAAAATTTTTTTTATCAGTTGTCTGATTAGTTTACACACATTTCAATAATATAAAATTACCATAAAACATAAAATCTAATCATAAAGATCTCCATCTTAACAATTTTGATTTTTGAATACCTTTCATTGGAAGTTGACTCATTTACTTGGGTTTGGATCCAGAGATTACATGTAAGAAAATTTGAAAGCAAGGTGCTGGACTTAGAACAACAACTCAATGAGATAAGAGCCATGCTTATCAAAGAAAGAAGGCAAAAAGATGAAAGAGGAAAAACTAAACCTGATAATATAATGTTTGATGATTTAATTCAAGCAAATTTTGATTCAAATCATTTGTTATTTTATATTTAAATCACTTGCACGTTTGTCTTTGAGTGTAGGGTACCAATCCCTCCCAAAGAAGCTCCGATCTACTCCAATCTACTCCTCATGACAACCTTCCAACTCCGGTGAGTGAAAATAATATTTTCAGAATATTTTTATCTACTCCTCATGTCTTTAATTGTTGGAATTCTGTGGTAGCTATATGCTTAATGTAGTGTTTTTATGGTTTTTTAGGTGAATGAAGTTGGTTCTATTATTGAAAGCATTGAAGCTATGAAAATATCTAAGCGTGTTGGTTCTTCAATTGCAAACGTTCCAATTTGTTTAGATACGGTAAGTTATGCTCTTTTTAGAAGTCTCAATTGTTATGATATGGTAATTAGTTATACATTATTGGCATCTTCTTGGGGCTGTGAATATTGACAATGTTGGTGGTATTAATGATTCTATCTAACTACAATTATGATTATACCAAATTTGGATTTTGGGGGATCATACATTAATCTTCTTCTAGTGGCTTTTATGTTTGTTTTTAGTTTTCTTAATTATAGTGATCAAACTGGGAATGTCATAGGATCTGAATTCCCTTTTCTAGCTCAGTGAAGTTTTCTTTCTTTTTTGGTTCTTGAATTCCCTTGTAATCTAATTGCCTGTCTTTATACTATGTATTGAGATAAAAAGCAACATACCTGCATTAACTGTTTTACTGTTAGTGATTTGTCTATTTGTCTTTTAACCTCTGTTGCTCTGTAATTTCAATCTTTAATTTTCTTGGTTTTCGTGAATGTGGGACTTTCATTTGTGAGAGGAGCTTCAATCTGGAAGAAATCAGTGATAGAGTTTATGATGTAATTGAAGTTCTGTTATGGCTGATTAATTGTAGAATATGCATCATATAATATCTAGGGTTTCTGTTGTGAAGTATATCATACCTTCCAAAAATCATCGACCGACTCGAGTTGTGAAGTATATCATTAATGTTTAATTTATTACTTTTTACAACTTTACTTGCATGCCGTAAATGGCGCTCAGCTTTTCACGGCATGTCATATAACGGTATTTGTGTGCATGCCGTGAAAAAGTTTTTACGACATGCATTGCAAGCCGTAAAAATTCAATTTTGATGTAGTGCATTACCACACTACCACAAAATGTGTAATTTCATTACTGAATTACAAATTATCATAACTCTTACCAGAAAAATATATAATATTTACTATAAAAATGCATAACATTTACTTCAAAAATACATAACAGATACATATGATACACATCCTTTGAAAGGGTGTGTAGCGTAGTGTTTACCCTTTTAATTTTATTATTGCGTGATAAACATTTGCAAGAAACACTAGTTTATAAAGCATTTTTTCTTCCTAATATGTTGTGTAACCATAGAAAAGTTACATTTCATCTTCTCTTTGTTTTTGGATTGGTGAGAAAGCTAATGATAAGACAATACAAATTTTTATTATTTATTGATATATCTTAGACTATTTTTTTCCTACAAAAGTAAGCTTGAGTAATTTTAAATGTAGGATGATATTTTTTATTTTTTATTCAATTTTAAAAAAATTAAAGTAATTAGACTACAATAGTTGAAAAAACATTGACTTAAATCTTTGTACGAACATGATTTTACACACATGAATAAAATGTGACTAGAACTCTCATTAAGCCTTTAGCTAGTAAAACAATGCCTAGACGATGAACTAATCTGGTAGACATGTTTCGGAAAAGCACCTCTCTTATGGCTAAGGCAAAACTTGGGATCAATAGGGAAAGGAAAGAGGGATTTAGGGTTATGTACGCGTAAAAGAAATCGAATCCTTTATATGTTGATCTTGCTTGCTTTTATAGCTTTTCCTCATGTGGATTGGTATTGCCCAAACAATATTTATGAGGACTCTCTATTAAGCAAATAAGCTTATCCAAACTCCCTAAAGTCATGCATGCAATGAACATTTACATTTCAAAATAAGCACGGCGACGCTAGCTGGCAATCGATACCCGACAATCTGATCGACCACCTAGCTCATACAAGCCCTATGCATAAATGAATTAGCTATATTATCAATTTAAAAATATGTATTGTAAATATTCAATTAATAATTTCTTATCTCAAAAACCTAGAAAATAAGTTTTGAATAATATTAAAATGTAAAAAGCCTCATTTTAAGTTATTATTTTAGACTTCAAATTATTTTGAACTGACTCTTCTTTTGAATATTTTATGATTCATTTATACGTATGTAGAAGTGATGTTCCTTCAAAATTTTATCATTGCCAATTGTTTAAAAAGTAGCCTTGGTACATCCCAAAAGTTGGAGAAGGGATATCAACTGTGCCTTTGAGCACAACAAGAGATACTATGCCTACTCAAATAATTTGATTTATTTTAGAATGGCAAAAAAACATTTAAAGATATATTTAGAAGTACCCTTTCCTAAAGCTAAATACTTTAGCAGAGAGGATACAGGTAGTGACAAGGGCACCCTAAATACCGATTAAGCCCATTATATTAGTAATGTTAGGAATACTAATAGATAGGGCTGGGTATAGGGTTATTCAAACTGTCTAAGTTGAACCAATCTGCATATAAATAGGCGGTTTCATAGACACAATACGGACGGATGCGGTTTGGAATATGGCATGATTGTGAGTTGCGGGTGGGTTGCCGGTTTAACCCTCACCCGCAAGAAACCGCCCGCATTTAGACTTTTTTTTTTTAATAATAAAACCTGGACTGTTATTATTTTATTATTGCATTTTGGATGAATGTAAAAGTTAATGAAGAATTACTTTTAGGGAAGCATAGGATTTTGAATGATTTTACTTTAATTGTATTGTTGGGTAGTAGATAGTGAATGAGATTGATGATCTAGTTTACAATTTTGAAAGATGTGCTTGTGTTAGTTTATGATTTGATTTAAAAGTTTAGGATTTTGAATGATTTGTTTGTGTTAGGAATTAATTTTGTTGTGTTTTTAATTTTATAAGTTTTAATTCATTAATTATTAATGCTGAAGCATTTTAGAAAATTTGGGGGGGGGGAGGAAATGGCCAAAAATAAATATTTACAAAATGGGGAAAAAAATGCTCCAAAATAAATTTTTAAAGAAAAAAATCCAAATCACAAACCGACCGCACATCGGCGAACCCTATCCGCACAAACCGCAACCCGCACTGTGGACGGTTGTGGGTTGAATTTTTTCCAAACCACATATATACGGGCCACTTTAAACCAATCTGCAAACTGTCCAAAATCGAATTGCGACCACCCCTACTAATAGATATACCATATAAAACACATACTTATTTATGAGTTTAATCTCTTGACTTGAAACTAACATAATATAATATCTAATTAAGTATATTTATTGATACATTTGATAGTGTACACGGAGGCTCTTTCAAATTTCATTACCCACAAAACCATATATGGATTGTAAAAAAAAAAAGTTTAATAGAAACATTTCAAAAATAATTTTATATAAATATTTTATTTAGATTTCATCATCCATTTAAAAATTATTTGGACTGCACACAAGATATGGTTCCGGTTCCGAACGAATGATAGTTGAGATAGTTTCGAACACTCACTACTCCTCACTGTGACAGTTTCGGAAACTAAACTGTGTCTACACCAAACGAAGTTCTCATTCAACTGATAATCCATCATCCAATTTTCTTTGGTAAGTGAACGCCTATCTTGATATCTCTGCAATTTACTTTCTCATAGACAATTCAACGAATACCCATCATGCAAAACAAATCACACCTCTAATTTATGCTCTTCCCGAATTGAATTCTTTCTGATAATATTCATCAATGGCTGTTTTGGTACTTTGCAAATCAAGTATTTGCTGTAGTAATGACAATTACACTGCCCTACCTACCTGATAATAATAGACAATACCACTCGAAGTACAATGGGTCTATGGTGAATTGGAAGAAACATAGGTGAAAAATGGTGGGTCTTTGTGGGTCTGTGATGAAAAGCTCACATGGGTTAATGGCAGTGAGTGGGAAGCCAAATGGTGGTTTGTCTTCTGAGGAAGCAATTAGGGTTTTGAAGTCAATTTCTTCAGACCCAGAGGAAGCTTTTTCATTCTTTAAGTCTGTTGCTCAGCTTCCTAATGTTGTTCACACTACTGAAACATGTAATTACATGCTTGAGCTCTTGATGGTTCATAGGAGGGTTGGTGATATGGCTGTTGTGTTTGATTTGATGCAAAAGCAAATTATCTATAGGAATTTGAATACTTATTTGATCATATTTAAGGCTCTTCATGTAAAAGGAGGGATTCAGCAAGCCCCATTTGCACTTGAGCGGATGAGAAAAGAAGGGTTCGGTTCGAATGGGTATTCGTACAATGGGCTGATCCGTTTGCTTCTTCAGTCCAAATGTTGTAAACAGGCTCTGGAGGTTTATAGAAGAGTCGTTTCAGGAGGGATTAAGCCTAGTCTCAAGACCTACTCCGCGCTTATGGTAGCATCTGGGAAGAGAAGGGATGTTGAAACTGTCATGGGCTTACTTGAAGAGATGGAGAGTTTGGCGTTGAGGCTGAATGTGTATAATTTCACCATATGTATTAGGGTTCTTGGGAGGGCAGGAAAAATTGATGAGGCTTATGGTCATCTGAAGAGAATGGATGACGAGGGCTGTGGACCTGATGTAATTACTTATATAGTTCTCATCGATGCTCTTTGTCCTGCTGGGAAACTTGACAAGGCAAAAGAAGTGTTTCTAAAGATGAAATCCAGCAGCCATAAACCTGATCTTGTAACTTACATCACCTTGTTGGATAAGTTCAGTGACTGTGGAGATTTGGACACTGTAAGAGAATTTTGGAGCGAGATGGAAGCAAATGGTTATGTTCCAGATGTTGTTACTTTCACAATACTTGTTGATGCTTTATGCAAAGCAGGGAAGCTTGAGGAAGCGTTTGGTACCTTTGATAACATGAGAAAGATAGGGATCTTGCCAAATCTTCGTACTTATAATACATTAATAGGTGGACTTTTGAGAGTTAATAGATTGAATGAAGTGTTAGAACTTTTTGATGGTATGGAATCATTTGGCATGAAACCTACTGCTTACACGTATATCCTTTTCATTGACTACTACGGCAAGTCAGGTGAACCTGACAAAGCTATTGAAACTTTTGAGAAGATGAAACTCTGTGGAATTGTTCCTATATTGTTGCTTGTAATGCATCTTCGTATAGTCTAGTGGAAATGGGTAGGCTTGGGGAGGCAAAAGGTATATTCTATGGACTAAAAAAGAGTGGACTAGCTCCAGATTCTATAACCTACAACATGGTGATGAAATGCTACAGTAAGGAAGGGAAAATTAGATGAAGCCATCCAATTATTCTCTGAGATGATAGAAAGGGGATGTGATCCTGAAGTGGTTAATATCAATTCTTTGATTGACACTCTTTACAAGGCTGATCAAGTAGATGAGGCATGGGCAATGTTTTGCGGAATGACGGAGATGAAGCTTCCTCCTACTATTATTGGCTGGTTCGGGGAGAGAAGGGAAGGTTCAAGAGGCCGTGGAATTATTTGAGAGCATAACTGCACAAGGGTGCCATCCAAACACAATCACCTTCAATACACTTCTCGATTGCCTTTGTAAGAATGATGAGATTGATATGGCTTTGAAGTTGCTCTTTGAGATGACAAGAAGAAATTGCTTTCCCGATGTTTTTACTTACAACACTGTCATTTACGGTTTAGTTAGAGAGAACAGGGCTAATGATGCATTCTTATTCTTCCAGCAGATGAGAAAGATGCTCTATCCTGATAATATAACTTTGTGCACCCTTCTACCGGGTGTTGTGAAGGACGGGCGGATTGAGGATGCATTTAAGATGCCAAGAGCTTTGTTCACCAGGTTAGGAATCTGACAGACAACTCTTTTTGGAGAGATTTAATTGAAGGAATTCTGTGTGATGCTGAAATTGATCAGTCCATTTCATTAGTTGAAAGATTGATAGTTGATGGGCTTTGCAGAAATGACTCAGTATTGATTCCTCTAATTAAGGTTATGTGCAAGCATAAGAAAGCCCTCAACGCTCACGAACTTTTTGTGAAGTTTACCAGCAGTTTTGGAATTCAACCTACACTAGAAGCATATTATGTTCTGATTGAGGGGTTTCTTGATGTTCATCTCACTGAAATGGCTTGGGGTCTTTTTAAGGAGATGAAAACTGTTGGTTGTGCTCCTGATGTTTTCACCTACAACTTGTTGCTTGATGATCTTGGGAAGTCTGGGAGGGTCGATGAAATTTTTGAACTCTCTGAAGAGATGCTCAGCAGGGGATGTAAGCCTAACACCATAACTCACAATATAGTTATTGCTGGTCTTGTTAAGTCTAATAGAATAGAGAAAACCGTAGATTTGGTCTATGATCTTATCAGTGGAGATTTCAATCCCACTCCTTGTACATATGGTCCTCTCATAGATGGTCTCTTAAAGCTGGGAAATTTGGATGAAGCGAGGAGTTTCTTTGATGAGATGGTGGATTACGGATGTAAACCGAACTGTGCTATTTACAATACTCTTACAAATGGATTTGGCAAAGGAGGGGATGTGGAAACTGCTTGTGAGTTGTTTAATAGAATGGTTAAAGAGGGAAGAAGACCAGATCTGAAGTCCTACACCATTCTCGTAGATTGCCTGTGTATGGTGGGGAAAGTGGATGATGCTGTGCACTACTTTAAGGAATTAAAGTCGACTGGCATTGATCCTGATTTAATTTCTTACAACCTTATGATTAATGGCCTTGGGAGATCAAGAAGAATAGAAGAAGCTCTCTCTCTTTTCAATGAGATGCAGAGTAGAGGGATTATTCCTAACCTTTATACCTACAATTCCTTGATTCTCAATCTTGGGATTGCTGGAATGATCGAGGAAGCTGGGAAAATGTATGAAGAACTCCTACTTAAGGGCCTTGAACCTAATGTTTTCACATATAATGCTCTCATTCGAGGATATAGCATGTCTGGGAATCCTGATCGTGCATATGCGGTCTATGAGAAGATGATAGCTGGGGGCTGCAGCCCCAACACTGGGACATTTGCACAGCTTCCTAATTAATTTTGAATTTTTTGGGGTTACTCCTCGGCTTTTCATTGTCCTAATTTCTGATGCCAGTACTCGAGGCACGCAAGGTATCAATCCTTTGGATTTCTTTCTGGCATATCCGCAATATTCATCACTGGCTTTTCTACTACCTTTTTGAATTTTAGATTTCTGACATTGTTTGTGTATTAATTTTAACTTGGCAACCTTTCACTTAATTTTGCTTACACTTGTTTTTTTTTCCAGGAATGTTTGGCTTGATAGTACTTGATCATTTTGGTTGTGATAGTGTGGGCCTAGTCATGCTTGCAATGTTGGTGGTGAGATTGCTACTGCCATGCTTCAAAAGGTTCCAAGGTCTGTGGTCCGAATATTTGAGGTGCTTTTTAAGTTCTCCTGACTGTTGTCCACAAGGATTGTGAATACTCACATATTGTATATACATGTCCTTCAGGTTCTGGAGTGTAACATAAAAATAGTATTAGTGTAAATG